GCTGTTGGATCCCCTGGGACTGGAGTTACGGACAGTTGTTAGCTGTCATGTGGGTGCTGGGATTTGAACCCGGGTCTTATGCAAGAACAGCCAATGTTCTTAACTGCTGAGAAAAACTCATTTTTAATGCTACTAACACTTAGATATTTGCACATGCGTCTATAATCTCTGTGTATCTGATTATTGCTAGTCACAGTCGGCTACTTTATGAGATCCTTGGCATCTGAGCATGGATATAAAGTCATCAGGTAGATTTCAATGGTAGTGTTTTTCACCTCTACTAATTAACATGAAGCAAATTTTTATGCTCCTTCCTCAAATATAACTCATTTTATTTGTTGATTTTTTTTGTGTGTGTGTATTTCATACAGAACATCCCATACAGTCTTATTCATCTATATACCCACATCCCAAATGGCATCCTCCCATAAATCCCCACCCCCCCGGAGGCCATATACTCTTGTTATACCTGTTACTGTACACTGTGTTGTCAGTGCCCCTGGTACTTGGAATTTCAAAGATGAGTGTTTTTTCTTGAACTTCTAAAAGTTTGTGTTGCTGTTTTTGTGTACTCGGATCTGTGAGACCAATGCATGATGAAATTACTATAACATAAAGTGCTAAACTGTAATAAAACTGTGTGTTAAAATTTGAGGGCGGGGAGTCAAGAAACACAGCAAGGAACAAGTCTAGTTCATTAGAGCTTGCAATCTAGGAATCTAGTTGTGAATTTAGCATTCATAGATATCAAATTGGTAGTTCTAGGGTCAAATTTGACTCTCTCCCTTTCCTCCATCACTGAAGATTGAACCTAGGGTCTTCAGCATGCTAAGCAAGCATTTTACTACTGAGCTAAGAAGAAAAGAACGTGTGTGTGTGTGTGTGTGTGTGAGAGAGAGAGAGAGAGAGAGAGAGAGAGAGAGAGAGAGAGAGAGAGAGAGAGAGAGAGAGAGAGAGAGAGAGAGAGAGAGAGAGAGAGAGAGAGAGAGAGAGAGAGAGAGAGAGAGAGAGAGAGAGAGAGAGAGAGAGAGAGAGAGAGAGAGAGAGAGAGAGAGAGAGAGAGAGAGAGAGAGAGAGAGAGAGAGAGAGAGAGAGAGAGAGAGAGAGAGAGAGAGAGAGAGAGAGAGAGAGAGAGAGAGAGAGAGAGAGAGAGAGAGAGAGAGAGAGAGAGAGAGAGAGAGAGAGAGAGAGAGAGAGAGAGAGAGAGAGAGAGAGAGAGAGAGAGAGAGAGAGAGAGAGAGAGAGAGAGAGAGAGAGAGAGAGAGAGAGAGAGAGAGAGAGAGAGAGAGAGAGAGAGAGAGAGAGAGAGAGAGAGAGAGAGAGAGAGAGAGAGAGAGAGAGAGAGAGAGAGAGAGAGAGAGAGAGAGAGAGAGAGAGAGAGAGAGAGAGAGAGAGAGAGAGAGAGAGAGAGAGAGAGAGAGAGAGAGAGAGAGAGAGAGAGAGAGAGAGAGAGAGAGAGAGAGAGAGAGAGAGAGAGAGAGAGAGAGAGAGAGAGAGAGAGAGAGAGAGAGAGAGAGAGAGAGAGAGAGAGAGAGAGAGAGAGAGAGAGAGAGAGAGAGAGAGAGAGAGAGAGAGAGAGAGAGAGAGAGAGAGAGAGAGAGAGAGAGAGAGAGAGAGAGAGAGAGAGAGAGAGAGAGAGAGAGAGAGAGAGAGAGAGAGAGAGAGAGAGAGAGAGAGAGAGAGAGAGAGAGAGAGAGAGAGAGAGAGAGAGAGAGAGAGAGAGAGAGAGAGAGAGAGAGAGAGAGAAAGAGAGAGAGGCAGACTCTCAGTATGTTGCTTAGCCTGACATTGACTTTGTGGTCTTCCTGCCTCAGTCTTCCAAGAAGCAGGGATTACAAGTGTGTACCATTATGCCTAGTCACAAATTATGTTTAAATTAGAGGGGTTTTTGGTTTTTTGGCTATACAGTGGTTTGTTTCACTTCCTCTTCCTCTCTTTCTCCATGAATAAATCACTGTTATTTAAAAGTAAGACTTTGTACACTGGGTACATGGTCATTCTTCCGTTTCTTCATAAGCTCTAGATCTAATAGCAAATGCTACCTGGAAGTGAGCCATAGCTTTCCATTGTAGATAGTATAAGCTTGTATTCTTCACTCCTTTACTTCACACTCACCCTACACCAGGCCTCCTGTACACCTTTGAATTAAATTCTGTCACTGCCTTCCTGTATTTTCTTTGATATGTTGAGAAGATGCTGAAAAATGTATAATGTGTTTTGGGATAGTATCCTTTAAAAACAATCAAACCTCTTAGGATTCAAACAATAAGTCTGAACCCTTGTGTCATATATTTCACATTGATGTTCTCCTTTGCGCTCTCCTTTTATTTGGGATTCAGAGTTAAAATAACTGTCCAACTGCCCAGTATCCTAACTGGGATCCCAGTCCTGATCTTTGATCCCACTCCAACCCTCCCTGCAAGTAATTTTAATTATCTGGAAAGTACGTCTTCAACATACATTTATTATCCTGGTGTGGTGGTTCCTATCTGTAATACCAGCACTTGGGAGACTGAGTGCGTTCCAGGCCAGCCTAGGCTACAGAGTAAGACCTTGTCTCAAATACAATCCCCCCCATATGTTTGTATTTATATATTAAGGTAAGTGATAAATATTGAAATACCTGAAAATTTGCTTCTTTATGTAGGGGTATAATGAGTTGAGGAGAAAGGCACTTAAAAGAGATAACTTTAGAGGAAGCAAGTATTAAATACCAAGTGATTGGTACAAATTCTAAGACGCCTCAAAATTACAACATGGAAAATAGGAGACAGAAATAGCTAAGGTAAAGATTTTGGAGTGAATAAGACTTGATAAGGCTTGATTTAGTTTGCTTCTGTGCTAATGAGAAGGACTAACGTTAATGTTCTGGGGATATCAAAAGTAGTAACATTTTATAATTAAGTCATTTTAAACTTTAAGCCTCATTTTTTAAAAAACTATGGACATTGAGTCTATAACTTAATTGCAAGTGGTTTTTCTTTCCCAAATAACTATATCTACCTTGTGAAATTTACTCTCTCTCTTTCTCCCTTTTTTAGATTATCCTGAACACCAGATGTCTGGCCGTTTTTCTTGCAACATTAGCTACTGGTTTTCATTGCCTCCAAAAGATCAAAATTGCCCCAGAAATTAGAGAATTTGATTTAAAAGAAAAAAACTTGAACAAATGGACAATATGTCTATTACAAACACACCAACAAGTAATGATGCCTGTCTGAGCATTGTACATAGTTTAATGTGTCATAGACAAGGTGGAGAAAGTGAAACATTTGCAAAAAGAGCAATTGAAAGTTTGGTAAAGAAGCTGAAAGAGAAAAAAGATGAATTGGATTCTTTGATAACAGCTATAACTACAAATGGAGCTCATCCTAGCAAATGTGTTACCATACAGAGAACACTGGATGGAAGGCTTCAGGTAGAGTTTTAAATGTCTTCTGTCGTGGTAGACTAAAAGATATTTTAAGGGGCTGAAGAGATTGCTCATCAGTTAAGAGACTTGGGTTGGTTTCCAGCACCCACATGGTGGCTAACAATGATCAGTACTCCAGTTCCAGGTGATTCACTGCACTCTTCTGGCCTCCACTGGCATTGCATGACACGGGTGCACTTACACACATGTAGGGGAAACATTCAAACACATAAAATAAAAATAAATCGGAAAAAGATATTTAAAAATTTCCTCTTGTTACATCTCCTGAGTGGTGGAATTACAGGTGTATACTACTGTGCTTATCTTAGGTTAGTTATTTTGAGCTTTAGTTTTCTCATTTCTGTAAGGGTAAGTTTTAATACTCTGAATATAGGGGAGAAACCCTCAAACCAGTTTTTCCTGCTGTAACCTCAAGACATATCATTTTGATTGCAAAGGGTATGAAGGTTTTTTTCAGACCAGTAAATAAACAAATTTGTGGATAATGTCACCCACATGTCTTTAAATTCAGTTCTGATGCTGTACTTGGAAATGCAGACCACAGACCTCTGGTTATTTTACTTGTTCTTCTTTCTGACCAGTCAGCTTTAGAGGTCACAAAGCCCCCTCTTCAGGTTCAATTAATTTACTTAAGCATCTCATATAATTGAAGGAAACATGTTTTCTGGTTAGTATGGAGGATGTGGCAAAGGATACAGATGTAGCAGTGAATAGGGCAAGGTAAACTTCCATGCCCTCTGCTGGTGTATCAACCTTCAGGAACCTAAGCTCTGTTCTTGTTTTTTTTTTTAATTTTTTCTTCCAGGCTCTCTTATATAGACACGATTGATTAAATCATTGTTCTTTGGTGATGTGCTTTACTAAACAGCCATTTTCCCTTCTCCAGAGGTTCAGGAATGGGGCTGAAGTCCCAATTTATAATCTTGTTTCGGTCTTTCCTGTGACCAGCTCCCATCCTGAAGGTACTTGAGGATTGCCAGCCTTCAGTCAACTCACAGCACAGAAAAAAGATATCATTAGCCAGGTGTGGTGGTACATGCCTTTAGTCCCAGCATTCTGGAGGCAGAGTCAGACGGATCTCCATGAGTTCAAGACCAGCCTGGTCTACATAGTGAGTTCCAGGCCAGCTGGGGCTACAGGGAGACCCTGTCTCAAAAAGACCTCCAAAAAAGAAAAAAAAGCATAATTTTCAGGAGTCTAAGATTTAGGAGTTGTATACAAGGAAACATGAAGAAAACCATATGTATATTTTGCAGTTTCACAGATAATGACTTCATAGAATATTGAGGATTAAATGAGAACATATATTAAGCTTCTTCTATAATGTATAATACATCGTTGATGCTTAATAAATGATTATTTTTCCCAGGTGGCTGGTCGGAAAGGATTTCCTCATGTGATCTATGCCCGTCTGTGGAGGTGGCCTGATCTACACAAAAATGAACTAAAGCACGTTAAATATTGTCAGTATGCATTTGACTTAAAATGTGATAGTGTCTGTGTGAATCCATATCACTATGAACGAGTTGTTTCACCTGGAATCGGTACGTGGACTGCCATTTTAGTATCTTCATAGATATATATAAAGGGAAAAGGCCCTCGTAGTTCTTTAACTTATCTGAGTTAAACTTGTATTTGAGGATTACTTAAGACTTCAAATAAAGTTAAAGAATCAGACTTTTTATTTTGTTTTTTTCTTGGAGACAGTCTCTCATGTCCCAGGCTGGCCTCGAGCTGGCGCTATAACTAAGGATGACCTTGAACTCCTGATTCTCCTGTTTCCACTCTGAGTACTAGGATTGCAGATGTGCACCACTATGCCTGGCTCAAGATTCAGACATTTTAAATGAACTATAAATACTTAAATCTGAATTTGAGGACAAATTTGTGTTTTTTGACTCCTAAAACTGAGTATATAAAACTGATGTTTTACCTACTTAGCAAATTGTTTTGAAAAATAGAGTGGAAAGCATTATAAATTGAAACAATTTACATAACATTTATCCTACTTCTGAATTGAAATGGTTCATGAAGTTTTGCAGTCTCTGGGTTAAATTGGTATTATATAATTTAAAATGTAATGGAAGATATTTTAATGGTAATGCTTGTTTCCCATTTTTTTCCTTTAAAAATTAAGATCTCTCAGGATTAACACTGCAGAGTAATGGTAAGTAATCTGTTTCTTACAGCTTTTTTCTATTTTCTTAGCCTGTCTCCTGTACTTTTTATTCACATATATGTAGTTTGTGTAAGTGCTGATAACATTAACAAGAAGAAAACTTACTACTTTGGAAATGTAGATTTTGAGGAGGAGATATGTATTAGCAGTTAAAACTGAATTTAAATTGACTGTTGGCTCTCTGAATTTGAGCTGCGATTTATGAACTCAAACACTCCTTAAATGTGATAGAAGAGTATGCCTAAACATATGTCAATATTCAGTTTAATAGATGTAATTGATTTTTAAAAAATAGCTGTTTTTTGGACTGGAGAGATTTCTCAGTGGTTCGTCATACTTGGGTTCAGTTCCCAGCACTTACACGGCAGCTCAGAACGATCTGTAACTCTAGTTCCAAGGGATCCAAGGGATCCCTCTTCTGTCCTCTGTTGGCACTGTACACACATGCTGCATATATATACCTGTAGGCAAAACATTCATGCACATCAAATATGACAAATAAACCTTTTTAAAAATTTTTTTTTTTAAAAAAAACCTGTTATGGAAGAAATTCAAACGGCCAGTGTAAACGGATGCCCATAACCACTGTGTGTGATAATTTGGATTATATAAACCATATCTTGTGAAAATATTAGTATTCTAGTTTTTCTCCATTTTACCCTAATTTACCTTTGTGAATAATACTGATAATGACTCAAAATTGTACATATTTGGGGCAAGAGATGACTCAATGGTTAAGAGCACTGGCTGTTCTTGCAGAGGACCTGGGTTTGGTTCCCAGCACCCACATGGTGGCTAATAACTGTCTCTCTAACTCCACTTTTAGGGGATCCAACACCACCTTCGGGCCTCTGTGGGCATTGCATGACATGGGTGTATTTACATACATGTAGGCAAAACACTCATATACATGAACTTTTTAAAAAATGTAAAATTATGCATAGTAGTATTTTTTTGAAAAGTATTTATCTTAAACAAAAGGCTAGAATGTTTTGAGGTGAGAAAATCCAGTTGGAGTATGTTTTTGGGGTTTTGGTATAATATGTGAAAATGGAGTTCTTTAAATCCTTAGCTCTACTACTTAGAAGTGGTTAATGATCAAAAAGCTCTGTAAAAAATTAATGTGTAGAGATAACTCTGATACAGACCCACCATTGCCCACCATCATTTTAGAAAAATGGGTTATTATAATAGCGTGGTGCCTCTTTAATTCTGTAAAATCTTAGAGGTGGGTCAAAAATACCACTCTAGGGAGACCCCGCAAACAGACTTGGTTATGGTATGTATGTTTCTTCCATGAGACTGATAATAGAGGCACACTGTTATTGATGGTTGGTAGATGTTCTTGAACTGTGGGTTGGTGGTAGTGAGAGCTGAAGTAGGTCTGGGGATGATTGTTTGTTTGTGTTGTTTTTTGTTTGTTTAAGACAAGGTTTCATTATAGCTCTGACTGGCCTAGAACTCACTGTATGTTGAGCAGACTGGCCTCAAATTCACAGAGATCATTACCTGGCAGGATGATAGCTTCAAGATTTCTTTTCTTTGAAAGTAAACACCATTCTGGTCTTCATCATTCTCCATCCATGTTTTTGGAGAGAATGCATTTAGCTCAGTGGATATTAGGATTTAGATTGCAGTGCTAATTTCAGAATTTCCATGTGGAATTGGTTGTGAGGAGGTCCAGATTTTGAAGTGTCTTCACAGGTCTCAGTTTAAAATTTTTTGGCATATGTACCTTTAATCGCAGCATTCAGGAGGCAGAGGCAGGCAGAACTCTTGAAATCGAGGCCAGCCTGGTCTACATAGGGAGTTCCAGGCCAGCTGGGGCTACAGGGAGATCCTGTCTCAAAGAACAAAAAACCACAACAAAAAAAGCAAGCAAACTAAAAACCAACCTGACAAATGGTGAAATGATTGCTGTTCCTATTATTGATGGAATTCTGTGGTCCAGAGCCCTTCAGTGACACTAATGCCATAGTCAGCCTTGTGGATCCCCCTGGTGGTGGTTTAGTAAAGGCAGTCGACTCCATGGTTTATTTGCTCAGAAAACAGATTTTTCACAGTTTCTTTTATATTTGGACCAAGAACTAATAGAAGGCCTGGTCTGAAAGGCTAAAAACAACGGAGCACTTCTCCTCTTGTGAGTTGAGTTTTGTGGTTATCATTTCCAGCATGTCTCATCTTTTTTGTGAGACTTTAATGACCACACTGTCTTGAATATCATTGTATAGACATTGAATGAATGTGTATTGCCTGGTACTGTGCTAGGGCTCAGGGATATCAAGAAAATATGGCGTGTTTTCTCCACTCAGAGCTAGTAGTCTTTTGGAGGGAAGAAAAGGTTAAGTCAGAGAATGACAGTACCATTAGACAAATGCTGGTGGCTTGTTCACTGGTAGTGACAGAAAACACACATCTAGGGAAGACTTAAGCTTATTTTTTGTCAGCTATGGAGAATACATTCTTTACCTCTCATAGAAAAATCTACAGCCCCTTATGTATGTATGTATGACTATTCCAAAAATATAGTTGAATGATAATAGCAGACACTAAAGACTCCATGTGTGTAAGGTACCAAGTAAAATGATTTATAGATTTTGCGCCATTGTTTTCTAAACACTTTTATGTGGGTGGGATTATCTACACTGCACCACATTAAGAGACTGGTGCCTTGAGAGATGGAGCTTACACAGTGTAGACCACTAGAAGGAGTTAAAGTAATACAGACTTCCTGTTAAATGTTTAAACAACAGAAAAGTGTTAGAAAAAGAGTAAGCTCCATGAGGGCAGGAATATTTGTTTTTATTGATAAATTTATCCCAGTTGTTAAAACGGTATGTGGACATAGGTGCTCAGTAAATATTTTTCAGTCTATGAATGTGTTAAATGTTACCCTATAAAGAAAAATACTTTACAATTTGCTGTCTATGTTTTCCTGAACTTTAAATAGTGTGCATCAAAAGATAAAAATTTTTTAAAAAGTATATTGTCAGGCTGAGCATGGTGGTACATACCTTTAACCCCAGCACTCCTTAAGTAGAGGCAGGCTGATCTCTGTGAGTTCAAAGTCTGGTCTACATAGCAAGGTCCAAGCCAGCCAAGGCTACATAGTGAGATTCTGTCTTAAAGAAAAACAAAAGTATGTACCATATTTCTTAAGTTTTATTTTTTGGAATAGGCAGTATGTGGTCCATGAATCAAAGCCCTGTAAAAGTACTATAGAAAGGTATACAGGAGAAGAAAGGCTCCCATCCCTGTTGCTCAGGCAGTCACTTTGGTTAGTTTCTGATATTCCCTTCTAGGGATTCTTTATGCAGAGGATATTAATCCTCCTTTCTTCCACAAGAAGCACAAACCAGACATTGTTCTTCATCTTGGTGGTTGTTTTTCTTTTTTGGTAGTATATGAGGTTTTTTTTTTTTTTAAATGTGGCTGTGGTTGTGTAAGCAAAAACTTGCAGAAGTCAGTTCTTTCACCATGTGACTTCTGGGGATCGAACTGGGTTTGCCAGTCTTGGTGGCAAGCACCTTTACTGGCTGACCCATCTTGCCAGCCTCTAAGAGTTTATAAATCATGCATTATTCTAGTGTTTAATAGTGTTTTGTAACATTTTTTTTCTCTGAGCAAAAATATGTTGCAAAGTTCTGTCCTTATTGACACCTTCAATTTTACTGCAGAGCTTCAAGTTAAGTTGAAAAGGTCCATAGACTGGTAACTGTTCCCAACTTACATTTGGGAAAGTTTAATCAATGTACTAAAGAAAAATTTAGGAAGCCTAACTATTTAATGTAGACAACAGTTGGTTCTTCAAGATGTCGTGATCACTCATGCAGCTTTTCAGAGTCTACTGAAGAGTCAAAGCATGAGAATCAATCACGCTGACATGCCACAGCCTCAAGTCTGTAGCTTTTTCGTTTTGTGTTAGCAGTACCTGTTAACTAAAAGATCTGTCACTTTAATAAAACCTAAAATGTCCAGGAATTAAGTAGAGATGCCAGGATCTGTTTGAAGAAAATTCTAGAATTTTTTTGAGTATAATAAAAACTGAATAAGCTTAAAAAGACCCACTTTATGCTCAAGACAGGTTTTTTTGTTGTTTTTTGGGGTTTTTATTTTTGGTATTACTGGAATATGTTCAACATTAATGAATAGTTAAGTGAAACATTTTACTGATACCTAATAATTAAAAATATTTTTTATGTTTTATGTGTATTAGTATATTGCCTACATATATGCCTGTGCACTTGGGTCATTCAGTGCCCACAGAGTTCAGAAGAGGGCATTGGATCCCCTTGAACTGGAGTTACAGCACTTGTTATTAGCCGCCATGTGCTGGGAACCAAACCTAGGTCCTTTGCAAGAGCAGCCAGTTAACCGCTGGGCCATATCTCTTGCTTAGGTCCCTAATAATTTAAAGAGAAGATTTGGACTGGAATGTATGGTCTTCAAAATGTCAACATTTTCATGACTTTGATACATGAAAATGCTTAATAGGTTGTTCATAGAAACTTGAACAAACATGGATTATTCCTGCTGTTTGAAGTAGCTTCACTTAGTAGCCTTGTAATTAGCCAAAAAAGGGAAGAGTAAGGAAAGTGGTATACTAGTTCTTCAAAGAGAATGACTTTTTGTGGGCTATATCTGCTCCAAAAAGATACCCTAGTTACTGTGGCACTATGAGTAAAGGATGGTTTTGCTAAAGATAAACAGCAAAACCCAAAACAGTGGGCCAAAAACACATGGGGGAGTTCTGAACAGAGACAGCTAATAGGAGTACCATTCACTTTTACCTTTCCAAAAAGCAGAAAAGCACATTGTTCCCTAGTTTGTTAATGGAAAAGTATTACTCTTGCCATTAGCTAGAGTGTAGCTTTGCTCATTAAAGTGTGAGAGATGTTAATTATTGAATTTTTTCATACCATTCAAGCATTTTTATTAGGATTAGATTTCCTAAACAGAAATTTCAGGTTGATTATTTGTGATCTTCCTGACTTGTCTTTTGAATGCTGGGATTATAGGCAAACACCACCACACCTGACTTTCTTAAGGGACTTTGAGTATACATTAATTTCGAGTAGGATGTTACTTAATTATAATTTTATGTCCTGTCACTGAATACCTTTCAGATCCTACTTATATCACCACAGTGTGAAGTTCAAAAAGATAGAGCTAAGTATTCAGTCTCAATTTGTACTGAAGAATTTTTGTTTTTTTCAGCTGAATAAACATTTCACTAGACATTAGGTTTTTACTTTCCTCATGTATATATTTACATGATTATTCTAGGTTAATCAGGAAACTGATGAGGCTCTTAGAATATAGTGTAAGCTTTTAAATTTCAGTGAGTCAAATTGATAAAATCTCTAAATAGATTAGTTCATAAAGTGTATACTTTTCTACAATACAAAAAATTTATGGATTAAAATTATACTGTAGTTGATTTTAAATGTTGCCATATTACTTGTATATACTTTTTCCATGGGAAGAATATTAAATTCTGAAAGTGTATGTGTGTTTTTCATAGCTCCACCGAGTATGTTGGTGAAGGATGAGTATGTCCATGACTTTGAGGGACAGCCGTCCTTACCCACTGAAGGACATTCAATTCAAACCATCCAGCATCCACCAAGTAATCGTGCATCAACAGAGACCTACAGCGCCCCAGCTCTGTTAGCCCCATCTGAGTCTAATGCTACGAGTACCTCCAACTTCCCCAACATTCCTGTGGCTTCCACAAGTGAGTTAAATTCAGATGTAGTGACACACTGACTTTTCCTAACCTTTGAATATTTATGTGTAGTCACTTGGAGAAACTCCCAAGTAGTAGTAGACTTTTTTTTTTGACTCCTAATGTGCTGGGTATGGCACCCAGGGCCCGGTACAAGGTAAGTTCTGTACCACTGAGTCACTCCACTCAGCCTATATGTAAACCTGTATTAAATAGGTGTTTGAGTTGATTCTGGAAAAAATGACATGTATATTTTATTCAAAAGTTCTAATATTGATGAGCAAGTCACATAATTTAAGTAATGACTGTAATATTAATGATCCGACACTTCTTGTGCAGTAACATGCAGAAGTAACGAGTCTCTTTATTCCCAGATTTTAGAGAAGTATTTAAATAGTTAACAAATAGTTTATTTTTTTATTGTATGTTTGGTATATGTGTGTGTGTGTGTGTGTGTGTATGTGTGTGTATGCATATGCACACTCTTGTGCATGTATACATGCTACAGTGTACTTGTGGAGGTCAGAGGACAACTTTATGGAGTAATTTCTCTCTACCTTTATATGGGTTTTGGCAGTCAAACTCAGGTCCCAAGCTTGTACAGGCAAGCACCTTTAGCTCCTGCTCTGAGCCATCTCACCAACCAATTTTTAAAAATTAATTTATTATTATTATTTTTTAAATTATAATTTTATTTTTATATGTATGAGTGTATTGCCTCCATGTATATAAGTACACCAGTGTTGTGCAGTGCCTGCGGAGGTCAAAGGTGGGGGTTGGATTCCCCTGGAACTTAGCTGCCATGTGGGTGCTGGGAATAGAACCTAGGTCCTTTGCAAGAGCAGCCAGTGTTCTTAACCACTGAGCCATCTCTCCAGCATGCCCCGCTCCCCATTTTGTTTTTTGAGACAGGTCTCACTGCATAGCACTGAGTGGTCTGGAATTTGCTTTGTAGGCCAGGTATCTTCTAACTCTACCTGCCTCTGCTTCTACTTCCCAAGTGCTGGGATTAAAGGCGTGTGCTACCATGCATGGGTCATTTATTTTGGTTTTTGTGTGCCTGAGCATATGTATGTGTACTACATGTGTGCTGTGCCTGCAGAGGTCAGAAGAGGGTATTGGATCCTCTGGAACTCAAAAGTTATACATGCTACTGTGTGAGCTGTCTGATAGGGGTGGGTGCTGAAAACTGAATCCAGGTCCCCTGGAAGAACAGCAAGTGGTCTTAACCACTGATCTATCTCTTTAGCCTCCCAACAAATAGTTTTGAATGAAGATGTTTATAAAGGTCTGTGTGAATGTAATTTCTTTAGCCCATATTCTTTATCTTTATACTTTATAATGGTTATCTAAGTTTCCTATTGTGAATACTTGGAAAAAAAGTTTTGTTTTTTTTAATATATGTATTTTTTAATTTTTTTAGAAGAAGCATTTCATTACAGCTTTAACATACTCAATATCAGTTTCCACAGTAAAGATACATCTTTTTCAAAAGTGGCTATAAATTTTTTAGGTTCACTGTTGAATTAATAGTTATACAATATTGAACTCAGTATAAACCCTGTAAGACATAAAATTGAATGAGTTTTTAACCTTTAAAAAAGATCTCCATTTCATTTTAAAATATACTGTTTCTTACAGAAAGACTCATTGTTTTTGCTAATATCATTGAGATGTTGTTGTGTGTGTCTCTAATCTGTATGTATGTGATTATTACTAGTCATAATCGGTTGCACTCAGAGTGATAGAATTTAAAGAATAAAAGAAATTGGATTAAAATAGAGGATTTGAAAGGGTATTTTACATGAGCAGATTTTATATTATTAACAATATCGTATACACTTAAAATATTGTGATGGAGCTACTTAGATAAATGCAGTGATTTTGCAGTTCTTAGTTTTAAGGAAATGTGACATTTGAGGGGAGAAAAATGTGCCTTGTGTTTGTCCCTTTTTTTTTTGAGACAGGATCTTATTATTGTAGCCCAGCTGGCCTACAATTCCTTTGTTTTAGCCTTCCCAGTGCTGGGATTATAGCCATACCACTATGTGTTCTTGATATGTTGTAGTTCTCCCATTTATATGAGGAAAGAAAGTTGATGCCAATGACAAATAACAATAAGGAAATTTCAGTGATTTTCAAATGGGACAAACAGTGACTTAATGCTTATTTTAAGAAACAGGCTTTTTCCACTTAGAAAATAAAGCTTTAAAAATGCCCAACAATAAAATATTATAGAATATTTTTTGAGTAGAATAAAAGCCAGATGAAATAGTCTTCTTGATGTATTATAGAGAGAGAATAACTAATTCTGTATAAATATGAGCATACAGTGGTGCTCTTGAAGAGAAAAGGTTTTGTGTTTTTAAAAAGGTACATGAAGAAGTTTCAAAATAGATTGACAGGTTTGTTTTTGTTACTTGTTTTACCAGATGTTATATTGATTAGATAGTAGAGCTAGTTTTTTTTTCCAACTTTCTCACCTTTTTTCCCCATTGCATTCCATTTAAAATATTTGTCTGCTCTTTTTTTTTTTTTTTTTTTTTTTTTATTAAACTCGATCATTCTGCCATTACTAGTACCAATGCCAATAATAATTAACTTTTCAATTGTCAACATTTTCTTGCTTAGGTTTTGGAGGTCCAGGTTAGGAAAGAGTAGTGGTGTCGGTGCAGTGTCCAGGGTTGAACTGCTTTTCAACTTATGGAGGTCTTGACAGGTGGAGGGGATTTCCTTAACAGTGAAGAATATCTCTGAAGAAACTGGCCAGTGAAGTTAGGCAAACATTCCTTAACGAGGGAACATTTTTTAAAACTTATGATTTGCCTTTATAGATGCTTTTAGCTTTTATATTATATAGGCGAGGGGTGAACACTTTTGGCCCATCTTTCTAATTGTGGAATATCAGCTATGATTGGCCTTTTTTTTCCCCTGGTACAAAAGCATAGAATTGCATTTATATATATGTGCCATGTTAATGTCTTCTTGTTTCTCTAGGTCAGCCGGCCAGTATTCTGGCAGGCAGCCATAGTGAAGGACTGTTGCAGATAGCTTCAGGGCCTCAGCCAGGACAGCAGCAGAATGGATTTACTGGTCAGCCAGCTACTTACCATCATAGTATGTACATGCTTTTTAAAATCTTTTAACTAGTTGAGAAAAAAACAGGCAGCCTTTATGTAAGCAAATTAATCCATGTGGGCCTTAATTTTTAGACAGCACTACCACCTGGACTGGAAGTAGGACTGCACCATACACACCTAATTTGCCTCACCACCAAAACGGCCATCTTCAGCACCACCCGCCTATGCCGCCCCATCCTGGACATTACTGTAAGCTCTTGTTTTTGTTGTAAGCAGGACTTTTTCTTTTCTAGGACTTTGCTTCCTTCCTTCCTTCCTTCCTTCCTTGCTTCCTTCCTTCCTTCCTTCCTTCCTCCCTCCCTCCCTCCTTTCTTCCTATGGCTTGCGTCTTTTATTCATCCTACAATCTAATTCCATTGTAAAAAATTACTTTTTTTTTTTTACTTTTCAGTATTTTTAGTAAACAGTTTTTTATAGTTACCATACCTTTGTTTTACAGTGACATTTATTAAATGCATTTCTCTGTTGCTGATGTTTCATCAACACCTCATTGATTTCCATTCATTTGTTTGTTTGCTTTGTATGTGTTTTAAATCTCATGTGTAGACCCATCACAGTAGACCAAAACCTTTGAGTGCTGTGAGCTCAAGGTTTCTCTCACTGTAGTGCCATAGATACACAGATCTCGAATCTCTAGGCATGATTGGGAGGGAGAGCCTACAGTTTCAGACAGAATAGAAACACTTCATTTGACTTTAAAATCAGTATACATTTCCCATGAATATTTTATCCTTTTCCCTGTTTTACAGTTAATGCCAAAAAATTTGAAGATACCAAAAAGCATAAATAATAAAATTAAAATGACCTAGAATCTGAAAACCCAGATCTGTTAACTTCTGGTATTAGTTATTTTTCTTCCAGTCATATAAATGGGTATATAAATATGTATCTACACACACATATATAGGGGACGATCATGCTATCTGTATATTTTTATATATCATTTATGTTACTCTCTTTTCCTGTGTTCAGAAAATCATTTCTAATGGCTGCCTGAACCAGCATAGTGGTTAAGGATGTTGAGTTTGCTCTGTGATTGTTGTCCACTTATTTAGATTCATTAAGCCTCAAAAGTAGCAATATTATAATAATAATTTATGTGAAGTTTTTAGCACAATGTGTTAATAAATAATAAGCTTTCAATTATGATAGCTACTATACCATTATGTAAATATCCTTAGTTTAATAAATAAGTACTTTTTAGAATAAATTAACAATTTAAGTTATTATACATTTCTTATAAATTACAGTTATATGTTACATGATTAATTAGATTAAAATTGCATTAAATATTGAATGTACAACTATTTGTAAATTGTCAGTTAACACTAAAAGGTTAGCTACTAAGTATCACAAAAATAATTCTGGAATATTTACTTATTATAAAGGAGTCTAAACTTTTAAGTTCATAACATAAGCTTGGTCTAAACATGTCTTAAGGTATCTGATAATTATGTTTAAGGTTTATTAAAAATTTAGCATTTGAAAACTTTTAATAAGTAAAAATGAGTTTTATTGTCTTTTCTTTAGGGCCAGTTCACAATGAGCTTGCATTCCAGCCTCCCATTTCCAATCATCCTGGTAAGTGTATTTCAAAATAGATTCCCTGTATGTAAGTTTTCATTATGGTAACTGGAACATCGACTCTGGTTAATTAAATTACAGGATAACTAAACTCAGACAAGTATAATATTCATTATGAGTTAATTAGCAGTTTTAGGAGTAGCTCATAGTCACACAGACTACATTTGATTAATTTTTAACTGTCTCTGAAAGAAAAAACAAGAGCTATGCTTTTAAAATAAAATGTAAAGTCCGAAGTGCTGGGTTTTAACATTTAATACATAAATATGCAGCAGAATGAAACTAGACTTCAAAATAGAACAGCTACAAAGCTGTAGCTTAAAAAGCCAGGGAAGGGCTGGAGAGCTGGCTCAGTCATTAAGAACACTAGCTGTTCTGGCAGAGGACCCGGGTTTGATTCCTAGCACTCAGATGGCAGCTTTCAACTGTCCTTAACGTCAGTTCCAGGGTATCCAGTGACCTCTTCTGGCCTCCCCAGGCTTTGCACACATGTGGTGCCCTTACATACATGCAGGCAAAGCACTCATATATATATGATTAATAATAAAGCAAGGGAAGAGGGCCAGCTAGCAAGATAGCTCAGGGTCAAGGCACTTGCCACTAAGCCTGGTGAGACCTCAGTTTGATAGCTAGGACACATGATGAAAGGAGAGACCGACTCCCACAAGTTTTCTTTGGCCTGCACAAGTGCACTGTTTTGTGTGCATATACAAAATAAGTAATTTTTTAAAAAGTACCAAAGACTCATTGAAATTCAAACAATAGGAATTTGAGTTTTTCTATTCTGTCCCTTAATAATTATTTTTCTTCATTTAAAGAGATGCATATACAGCTGCTTCTCAGTATTTTCAGGGGTTTGATGCCCTCAGATACCAAAATCTGTAGATGCTCAAGTCCTTTATAGAAGACGGTATAGTATTTATTTGCATATAACCTACACATCTCACATACTTTACATTGTTGTCCTTAGATTATTTGCAAATATGGCATCATTTTACATAAGAAACTTTGAGCATCTGCAGGTTTTGATGTCTGAGGGTTCTTTTGAAACTACCCTATGTGGACACAGAAGGACATTGCATATGTTTCCAATGGAAACAAAACAGTATAGCCACAATGACCATAATAATTAAAGGATTACAGTTCTAAATAGGTATGCAAGCAGGGTTTTGTTATTTCTGTTGTTTCCAATTTCCTTCTAGCTGTTTAAAAATAACTGTAGGGAAGATCTTTGTACTTGGAACTTTTCTCATATTTAAAGAGATTTAATACTGTTTCTGGATTGAAAGGCTAAATGGCCTGATTGACAGCATCAGGAGTATGAGAACCAGTTTCACTGTGCTCGCTGATGGTAGATATAGTTGCTTATGATCATTTTGAGACAAATAATATTTGATTTGGTTAGGAGAAAATTGCTTCAGTAAATGTTACATGTGAAATTATTATATCAAGATCTTAGGTTGTAGATGATAATGGGCCCTTGTGAAGTTTTACCTGGTAATTGCTGATCTGCATTACTTCTCTGTTTTTGTCATAGAATAATTGAACTGGTTTCCCTTAGAGCTTCTGCTCCTGATACCTTCTTGCTCACTAATTACTCTTTACTGTTACTCAGTATTTCTTCTAAACTTTGAATCTAGATATATTTATTTTTCTGCTCAAGAACTTGTTTGAATTCCCCAACTCATTGCTTGGTTGTGGGATTAAGTCCAAATGTCTTAGCTTGTCAGAAAAAAGTTGCTGATCCTAGTCCTTATGAACTTTTTATCTCTGTGCTTTAACTGTCTTGCTTGTATTAGTCAGGGTTCTCCAAAGAAACAGAACCAGTAGAATGAATATATATGTATAGAGATCTCTCAGCTTAGCTCACAGGATAGAGTCCGAGTAGTCCAACAATGGCTGCATCACACTGGAGAGGCTGAGAATCCATAGTCGCTCAGTCCACAAGGCTGGATGTCTCAGTAGTATCAATGTGGCGCTGAAGGTCTGACAAATTTCAAAAGATCAGCTAGTCTTCAGTCTACAGCCGCAAGACGAACTCACCAGTGAGAGAGAAGGCAAGCAGCAAGAAGCCAGGCGTTCTCCTGTCAATGGCTTTTTATATGGGCTGCCATCAGAAGGTAACACCCACATTTAGGGTGTGTCTTCCAGCTTCAGATGATCCAATCATGAAGATCTCTCTGTTAATCCCAGATCCAGTCAAGTTGACACCCAGGATTAGCCATCACAAGTTCACCCCTTGTCAACTTGACATCCAATAGCATCTCTATGTCTATGCTTAATTTTCAAATGAAAACAATGTTGAGGCCATAATTTCACTTAACATGATATAACTTTCCCATCATACAATGACCAATGCATTATATATCTTAGAGTAGGTGATAAGGTCTT